GTTCTCCTTCCTCTCATTCGTTTGTTTGGTTCTTTCCTGTTCCTGTTTCTAACTTCCTGGTCCCTTCAGGCTTTGCTTCCTCCTCCCCCCTCCTTCGGGTTCTGGTGGGGTTCTCTCTTCCTGTATTTTTCCCCTGGTTGGTTCTGTTACAGGTTCTGATCCAGTTCCCAGGAGAACCACACACTGGAAACCAATGAAACTAAATAAATTGGACTCCTGCCCTGAACCCAAACTAATGAGCGGAACCAGAACCACCTGACCAATCCTTTGAGTGATGAGAACAGGTGTGTTGTTCTGACCCAGATCAGCGTGTTAATGGCTCCATGTTTCCTGTCTCAGGTTGACCGTCTGCGATGAGGACAAGTTGACTCATAACGAGCTGATCGGAGAGTCCCGGGTTCCACTGAAACGGGTCAAACCCAACCAGCCCAAACACTTCCACACCTGTCTGGAGCATCCGCCACCGGTAAATCAACCCATCGGTTCTGGTCCTGTGGCCGACTGTAGAACCACATAAATAATCCGTTAGAGGAGCCGTTTCATTCACAACACCTGTCCCATCAACCAGGAATCAGAAATACGATAAGATTCAAATATATTAATATAGCTGCATGAAGGGAAAATTCTTCTCAATTAGGTTAAATTTCTGATGAGCTCAATATACATTTATAATTTAGGAATTTTACATTTTTTTTTTCTTAATTAAAGTTAAAACTATTGTTTTCTATAAAATTTAGATTAGAATTCAAGAAAAACTGTTAAATTCATCCGTAAAAATTATAGCATTTTTTTTTATTTTGTTGTGAAAAATAATATTTATCAGATGAAAACTGGGATCCTATCTCAGCACTGAAGCTATCAGCTTATTGGTTTTAAATAATTAATAAAACAGAATTTGTAAAGAAAAGAATGAAATAGATCCAAAGGACCAATCAGTAACCATGTCTGTTCCAGCGCAGATCATTGTTAGAATGTCTTTATTGTATTATGTCTTCAGTACAGGGGCCATAACAGGGGCCAGGACATGATCTACAGGGGCCCTGGCCCCCATTGGCCCCCATTATGATAAGCATCTCCCTGAAATGAGTTTTTGGAACTTGGGACGTCTTTGTTTACATCAGGATGAGACCAGAGAAACGTCCATCAGGGCTGCAGGTTGTTATGGAAACGGTTGTTGGGCTTTTAAAGGACAGATTCCTGAAGGTTGTAGCTGGACGTCTGGCCTCCTCCGTAGATAATGGAGGTTTCTGGTGCCTCCATCAGATCAGGCGAACCTGAAGGTCTGCTGAAAGTGGACCAGCGTCCTCACCGTCTTCTTTGTGTCCTCCTCCAGCTGCCGTCCCCCAGCGCCATGGGTGAAGCCCTCAGAGGGATCTCCTGCTACCTGAGAGAGGTGAGGTTCCTCCTACCAGGCTGTAGATCCTGGAACCAAGCAGATACCAGAACCAGCTGAAGTTTCACATCTATACAGTTTATTTCTACAGCTCCAAACTCCAACCGTTCATCTCTTTATAGATCCAGTTCAATTAGATTATCCAGTCAGATTTAAGGTTCAAGTTTTCTATCTCAGCTAAACCAGCTGGTTACAATCAGACTCTGCAGCAATTCCTCACAGCAAGCATGCAGCGACAGTAGGGAGGAAAGACAAGAAACCTCCAGCAGAAGCAGGCTCAGGGTGAGCAGAAGGAACCAGCTGTGACCCAGCAGT